AATAACTTTGAAATGTTTTTTGTTTGAACTAAGGAAATTAACATTTTGGTATTATCAAATTTCAATAATCGATAAAACCAAAAAATTTTAGAGAAAAAGAAATATGCATAAACATATGCCAAAAAAATATACTGAAATATAATTACATTACTGGATAAAGAATAAGTTAAAGGATAACAAAAAATAAATATCGCCAACAACTAAATTGTGTACTGATTTTGTGTATATAATTCTCATGAGTAAATTCTAAATTTTAAACAACACAAACACTTAAAATGAAAGATATCAATTTATCTATTTAATATTTGATTAACAAACAATTATTTTTTGGATCTACAAAATCAAAAACTTTTTTGATACCATTTTATTTATATTAAAATAGCAATCAAATCTATAAAACATATCTGGGCATAGCCCGGGTCATTTTCTAGTTTATAATAAAGGTTATGTTCTTATGTTTGCTTTGATAAAATAATACGGATTGTGATCAAGGTACTTGATATAATTTACACTATTTATAATTTCATTTTATATATTATTTGTAGTTTAAAAAGATTTGATAATTTTTCTCTTATTAGCTGTAGAGGTATTACCCTCATACAAAACGAATCAATTTTAGAAGGAAAACATAAGATAGTTTATGGAGATTATGTATTTCTTTTTCTTTATGAGATTGATCATAGTAGCTCTAAACTATAGAATGTAGTCTTTGTTTTTAGCGTACATTATTTGAATTGTCTCTAGGGACTAGGGTTAGCGATTATTTGAATTATATTTTAGGATCATCTTCTTACTTCTGAAATTACTTCGATAAGTACATTTTTCCTAATATTTTTTTTTGTCTCTAGGACTAGGATTTGCGATTGTTTTTTAGATTTTATTTGTGTTGGTTTCTTTTATGATGATGGAGTGATCTCTTTGTTTCTTGATAGGTGTTTGAGTAGGTTGTGATTGAATTTTGTATTCCAAACCATGCAGAATTTGAATATAGTTTTGGTATGAACTTAGGCAAATATTTGAGAAGTTTCTCTCTTTGGTAAATGTTGCCTATGAGGAACATATGGACAGAAACCGTTTATGTGGAGAGTCTGAGGATGTAAAAAAGAATATTAAGATTTAAGAGTATGCGGCATAATTCTGTAGATCTTCTTAAATAGTATTCTAACTTTGATGTCACAAAAAATTGAGATATTATGTGCAAACTAACAAATTTCAGTAATATGTTAGCAATTTTATCAATTTTATAAATTTTAAAACTAACAAACATGCATATTTAACTTTTATAAATAATAAAATCATGTTATTAGATACGGAAGGAACTTCAACTGCGAGAGATAGAGATGTTAAAACTTTGTAAAAGATTTAAAGGCTGTTTTTGTGAGAAACTAAGAGGAATAAAACAAATGTAAATAATACCTATCATTAAATGAGCTTATATAAATGTAAAAATAAAAAGAAACTATTAACAAATTCTTCATGTTCATCTTGTTTATTTTTATTAATGTTAAAACTTTTTTTCACTAATAATAGTTTTTTGTATATTTTATCCATCGTTTGTTAATACAACACGAATAAAAAAGTTAAAAACGGAAAATTATGTAATGTATTATATCTATGCATGTTAATTTCCAACATGCATATAAGTTTAAAACTAACAATCATGCATATTTAATTTTTATAAATGATAAAACTATATTATATAAATACGGAAATTAATATATTTTTTAAAACATTTCATATCCGCACACGGTGCGGGCCATTCATCTACACCTAGTTTAGAGTATGTATTGCATCTCAAGTGTAATTATGTATTTTGAAAACAATTAAATAAGTGGGATTAATTTGATAATTTTAGAAATATTGTTTTTGAATAGATGATGAACATAGAGTGAATTCTAATAAACTAATCACCACAACACCAAAAACGTTTTACAAAAAACTAGTAATCTAACCAAGTTATGGTGGTTTAGTGGTTGAGGATTCATGGTGTTATTTTAAAGACTAAAGTTCGAGTTTTTCTACTACA